TCGAATTGAAGTGATTTTAACATTCTTTCCCTGCTGGCTAATGGGGAGAATGATTTGCATGAAAATAGCACTCTTAGAGGTGCTCTGAGACAAAACCTGCAAAGTTTTAGAAGTGCATAGGTTAGGGAATTACAGTGATACAGTGATTGAAATAATCTCCTCCTCCTCCTCCATACTGAATCCTGGTAGTACTGAAAACTTGAGTATCCATTGAGTACATGGTTCCATTGTTTCCCTCTTCTAAAGCACAAATGACTGTGGAGTCCCAGGTAAAAAGCATCATATGATTAGAAGTCTGAGTTGTCAGACACTTAGCTGTACCCATCCACTAGCTATTTTTGAGAACTGAAACCAGTAGGCACTGGTTTGAAAGAATGCACTGGGCAATACCCAAGAGTGTCATATTGAAAATTCAAATAGCCCTCATAGAGGCCTCCTGAATCTTTCCATTGCACAAATGCTTTGCTTCTGATAGCTTTGAAGGGAAGTCAGCTTCATCTCAGGAAACACCAGAAATACTCCAAAGGAGCCCATGGTTTGGACTTTGGCTAAATTAGATGCATTTTCTAATTCAAACTGTTGTCATATTAATATATATACTTACTGGATTTGAGGCACTTTCATAATAATAAAAATGACCCTCTTCTCTCTTTATTTGACTGCAAACTATAGGATCTTCCACTGAGTCAAGTGACTGCATAACACAACTTATGAAGCAAGGCTTTGCTTAAGTAGTTCAAGAGCCATGCAGAAGCTTGCTTATTATGTATTGTTTGGTTCTTTCAGCAATCATCCTAGAGAGAAGTGGGAATTTCATGTAACTCTTGTATATTCATATCTGTCCCTTAATTGCATGCAATTGAATACACAATAGATAGAAGAAAAAGAGTAATTGTTGCAGTTTCCAAGGGTCTTAAGTAGAAGTTTCTTTGGATTGAAAATAGGTTTATGGAGTGTGTCTCAGTAAGTGCAGAAAAAAATATAAGGAGTTTTAGGTTTCTTTGATATTTACTACGAGTATTTCAAAAACTTTTGAAGAGACAACAATATAGAAATAAATAAAAGTATGCGTACGTGGAAGTGTTGTTCTGCTCCATTCTTTATGGTATGGCAATACATTAGGGACAAAGAAAGTGCTATTAAACCTACCCAGCAGGCTCAGTTTGTGGTGGAGCTTTTCCGGGCTGTTAATGTAATGTCCTCTTGGTTTTGTTGCAGAATTACAATGCAGGGTGTATGCAAAGAGCTTTACCTGTCCTGTTCTCCCACAACATAATCTACAATGGTCTGGTACTATTGAAGAATAACATCAGTACATAAATAGAAAAATGCTTTTCTTTCACTTTCAGAAATAATGGCCCATTTTCCCTGCAATAGATTACCCCCCCCCCCGCACCAAGTACTATTAACCACAAAAGTAAAATTCAAGGATCACAACATGTGCAAGGAACTGTGAGTGTACAATAAATGCCGCATGTAGAAAGCTTATCCAGGCTCGCGTGTCCAACTAGGACTGGAGAGATGAGGTTGCCCGAATAGAGACCTCGCAGCCTAAGCTACACCACTGCATTATTTGAAGGATAAAATGGGAGGAAATGCATGCACTACCTTGTGCTGCTTGAAGAAAAGGCAGGAAATAAGCAAATAAAATAATGTTGTGTAAGTTGCTTGGGAGCAATTCTCCAGGGTTTTACATGCAGTCTTTTCCACCCCTACTTGGAGACATCAGGGACTGAAACTTGCAAAGCATGAGATCTAGCCCTGAGCTGCAGTTCTTGGCCTTGCGAATATTCACTCTTAGATACAGAATCTGCAGGGTTTCTCTTGTGTGCTTACATTATAGCCCACCATTACTGAGTAGGGACCAGCTGAAAAAGAAATCCATTAGCAGACCCTTTGGAGAACTGGAAGTGGCCAGCTGGAAGAGGCAAAGTTTTGTTTTAACTCTTGTCCGAAGACTAAAGGAATCTCTCTTGTGTCCCAAAACAACTGTAATATTCTGCTGCTAGAAAATATTGTTGTTGTTTTTAAAAGTTATTGAGTTATTTACAAAAATGAGCAATTGCTGTAGATTACCAACAGCCGCAACAGCACCATAAACAGATGGTTAACACAAAAGAGCTTTCCTTGATATAACTTCCCTAAAATTAGTGTTTGTGCTCAGCCTGAACATTAGCCCTTTAGCCTCCTCATTATACTTCTGACCCCTACAGATCAGCATTAATGGAACTATTGCCCCCAATACTACAGTCACCATTCCCGCTTCTCTGCAGTGTCTCGGTAATGATGTAACTGCTAAGTGCAATTATATTACTAAACTATGCATTACATGCTCACAGCATCAGTCTGACACAGTTGCAGGCTTTTGACTTGTGTTGGTAAAGTTCTGGAATGAACTGTGCCTATTAAAGCCTACCAGGAAAGCAAACTTCATAGTCTAATTAGATCCCCTGAGCATGTTGGATGGCTTCACAGCTGGAGCATTAGAAGAAAATCATTCCAGAGTGTGGTTAGGACTGCAAATGTACCTGTAATTACATCTATTTTCCCCCTTCTACAAGATCAGTAGAATAGAAAAGCACATTGATTATATGTAGGAGATCTTGAACACACATTGCCTGGTCTGCATCTTCTCCTTGGCCCAGGACTCAGATATTAGAAAAGGACACTTGAGGCTGAGGGGTAGGCAACTTCAGGTCATCTTGACATTGTTGATCCCATCACCCCCAGCCATAAAACCAATGGCAAGGAATCATGAGAGCTGAAGGCCAAAGCATCTGGAGAAGTACACCCTTGACCTATTGAGATAGCTGCTACTGTGTATGCAAAGGTCTCAAAGTTCTCTTCAACAAATCCTAAAATGCCCTACCACCACCACCAAACAATGATGGGGCAGGAGGGACCAACTAAACCAAAAACCAAACACTCCTCTCCGATTCTTACATGAGCAACTAAATTACAGGGTTGTAAAAGAAATAAGGGGAGGTAGCAAATGACACATACTGCCAGAGGCCATGATCTTGCCAAACAGCTCTTAAATTACCAGCCAGAACTCCTTTGAGAGCAAGAAAACAAGACACCTGCCAATCTCTATACCATATCCAATCTCAAAGCAGAAGATCTATCATCTTAGAGGTCTTAAACAACCCATCAAGTGTCAAAAGGATGGTGACATCCAGAACAATGACCCATCAAGAACTAAAAAGAGACCTCTCATGCCTGGCCTTGATGATTAAAGATCTCAGCATTCTACGAAAAGAATTAGTGCAAGATGATGTACCCTCAGAATAATGCAAAAGGAAATAAAACACTATGTCCATTACAGACAATTTTCATCAAGTTTGCCACACCTTAATGATTTCTTTTGGAAAACAAGATTTCACTTCCTTTCAGGAAAGAGGCAAATAAACATCAGTAACACACCTTGGGTCATTCCTGGCAGGTGAAGCAGCTCATTCATTCCCCGTAATTCCAAGGTGATCAAGAACCCAACAGTAAGCAAGCCAGGTTTCCATGCTGCAATTTTCTTTATTCACAAAGTTCTTTAACTACCACATTCTTAGTATGAAGCCTCTTCATCGGCCAGCTTTTATACATATTCAATCTAAACTGTTGTCCTTTCCTATGCAACAGGGTGGCATCTGCTTGCTAAAGAGCTTCAAGCTCTTGGTACCCCCTCAAACTCCAGTTACAGTATCTTAGAGAACAGATACTCAAGAAAGGTTGAATGAAGCAGTCTATCTCCAGACTATGATTGTGTCTCATGTGGATTGGTTTTGCTCCATGAAACCATCTTTTCCCTGAAACCATTGTGACCCTTGTCAGAGCACAACATTTTCATCTGCACAAAAATGTTGTTTCTGAAATGCAAAACAAAGAGAGAGGGCCAGAATCTAGATATCACTCACATGAGGTGCCTCCAGTGAGACTTTCTGGTTTCCTCTACTGCCTCCCACCTCTCCTGTTGCAGGACGCAGTTCAGTGTCCCAGGTTTTTCCATGGGTCCCTCAGTCTGTTAAGAGGAAATGTGCAGGAGGCTGCGGTAAACCCTGTGCATATACAGTAAATGGGATTCCACATGCACAAGAATCTTTCCTGAGCAATGCTACCTAAAACACACAGGATTCCTTGTGGATTTTTATAAGCCCCCTTTTCCTGAATGTTGTTATTCATATTACATTACATTTCTTCCCCTTGCAGTGAACCCAAGAGAGCTTATTGAGAATGAGAGCATCAGTTATTCTTGGCACGCTTTCCATGGTGAGGTTGCATTTGGATGAGGTCTGTGATGGTTGGGAAACAGGGAGTGTGGGAATTGAGATGGCAGAGGAGGGCGAGGTTATCAGAAGGTAGCCATCTCCAGGTGCTCAAGTAGGTCTTGAGTATAGACAGGGCTTGGAAATGAAGGGAAGGGAAGGGAGAAGACTAGTCTAGAAGGACAACCTTATTAGAGGCAGGCTCTGCCAACATCTGCAGTATCCTGGTGGTACCTCATCCTCTTCTTCTCATGTCCCAGGCACAAACACTGCTTCCAAATCACCTGGTTTGCATGGCAGGAGGAGCATGGGGGTGAGCTTTGCCTCTCTTATGGGCAGGTGTCATGAGCAGATGTCTCCTGCCCTCTTTTCCCCTCCAGCAGACTCAGATGAGACTTTAGAAGCACAGCCCTTTGTTGGTTTTCTTGTTTGTTTAAAGCTTTTATATACCGTCCAACTATTAGGGTCTCAGGACTGTTCATTCAAGAATGTTAATGTTGATTTCATGTCTAGCACATGGAAACTCTAGAAGATACAAAAAGCAAGCTAATGCATCCTCAAATACATTATGGTTATAGCCAGGATTTAGAGCTTTTTGGCATTGTCAACAGAATTCCAGCAGCAGCTGTGCCTTGATTTGCCATGGAACAGAGACAGTCAGTAGTTCAGCTGGAACTGATACTGGAGCAAAACACTGGTCCTTTTTCCTTTGAATGTATTGCCCTCTCTTGAGTGCAGAAGGCTTTACCCAGAGCTGTTCACTTGTGTGCCCAAGCAGGCTTCCCTGGCCCTGTCATAGAGAAGATGGTTGTAGCCTTCTCGGTTGCAGGCTATTTCAATAGAAAAGAATTGGATCCTGGTGGCAAATATCGTGTTCTCCTCTGTACACCCTTTCCTGCAATCCATCCACAGAATGTAGTTAAAGTCCTCGACCACCTCATCAACCCACAGGCAGAATGGGTGCCATTTCTTTTTGGCAGGTCCAGATTTCAGATCCTCCGGGTCCAGCACACCAATCTGGAGGTCAGGGAAGTCCTTCCAGAACTCAGAGTAGAACTGGTCATCCACTTTGGTGAGTTTCAGGAACTCCGGGTCAATGGAGGAGATGAGGTTGAAGTAGACCTGGGCGCTCTGATACGCCTTGGCAGCCCATGCCACCTCCACAAGGGGGTCGTTCCTGAAGGCCTCGGCCAGCAGCGAAAGCGCGGCAGCGGAGGCTCCCTGGGCACCCTGCAGGGGGTAGAAGCGCGGGGGAGTGAGCGGGGTGGGGGCAGCACTTGGGCAGCCTGGCCTGCCCCCCCCCCTGCAGCCCTCACCCGTGCAGCCAGGCCGCCCCTCAGGGTCCCAGGTCTGTTGAGAAGCTTTAGAAGCACATCTGCTCATGGAACTTGTCCTGAAATTCGTCCTCCTTTTCTCCCTTTTGGAAAAGAATCAGACCCCACCTTCCTGCTGCTTGAGGGCTGGGTGGAGGGAATGTCAGACTGGCCCACTTGTTTTGCCTGTCATCTCCTGACTGGGTCAAAGGACTCCTTCAAAATCTACTCCTCTACCAGCTCTGAAGTTCTCCCTTCTGTTCCAAGACAGGCAGGTTCTCATGCTCTGTCTGAGAATCTTCAAGGTCACCTTGAAGGCCAGCTGCCCAACTCTGCCCCTCCACCTCCTCCTCTGGATCTGAGGCATCTCTCTGTTACAAACAAGAGCTCTCTGCACTGCCACAGTGCATAGGATGTCTGTGAAACTCCAAGTTCAGAAGGCTATGCGTAGCCTCGTTGTTTTACTCTGTCACTCTATTTTAGAAATGTTCCCAAATTACCTTGTGCCAAGATTACTTTATCTGATCCTGACTTTAAACTGTTATTAATTCCACGTAACTTAACTTGAAGTGCACACCTCATTTTGGAAACAACATCAACAAAAACACTATATTGTTGATTGTGATTTGTTCCTGATTTGTTCCTCTATCCTTGTTGCATGAACACCTTTTGTAGTCTGTTCTCTTTCATTCTTTCACTTTATTATATAAATTTGCCAAATAGTAATATATCTCTTTGTTGAACACAGGCAGTCCTGTGAAATGTTTTCCCTCAGAGGTTCTTTTTGTGAAGTCACATTGAGGACTTTCTTCTCCCAATTTAAGCTCCTTCAGAGGCTGTTATTAATTACTGTTGTCAAAACTTCAACATCTTATCTACAGTTTTCTAACTGCCAGCACCTCATTTTCGTCTTCCTTCTTAGGTTTACAATATTTCCAGCTTCATTCTTCATATAATTTTGCTCCATGCAATTCTGTTTTCATGATTTTTCCCCTTCCTCCTATGGAGTGTTGTCTACTTTACTGCTATATACAGACTAAGAAAAATGGCGGAAAGAAGGACTTGAAATCTGTGCACAATTGTAGCATAAACATCAGAAAGTTTAACTGATTAACATATCCAAAAAGCATGGGGACACCTTCAAATGTGAATTTCAAATTGGTGTCTATATTGTATTTACAGATAAGTGTAATTTTTCTAACTTCTATTTTCCATTTTTGCATTGTTCCAGCAACTACTAATTTTAAAGTTCTACAAAATAAGCACTGTGGGCTGAGGAACATGATATTGCATTTATTATACACAATTAACATATTATCTATGATTCTAATGGATTATTTATCTTTGCCCATCTCTCCATGCCATAGTACCAAGACAAGGAAACATAGCCACCTGCAAGTTGGTGTACATACTAAAGAGACTTGGGGTGTGTGCCTCAGGATAATTTAGTTTTTAAAATGCATTAATTTTAATATTTATGAATTTGCTCTCTGTTGTTTCATCTTCAGGCAGTAGGTGGCAGACTTCTGTAATTAGCAGACTCCTCTAATTTTGGTTGATAAGGGTTAAAGCCAAAGTGAATAGTCAAAAGCAACCTTACCCAACCATGTGCATTCCAGAAATGTTTGGAGTGCAACACCCAGAATTTCCACCCAACAGCCCTGCTGGATGGGAATTCTGGAAGTTCTGGTCCAAACGTCTCTGAAGGCCACCAGGTTGGAGAAGGTTGGTCCAAAGGACAGAGTTATATGACTCTGCTTTGCCCTCTGTGTTGGGTAAAACTCACTCAGGGACATAGATTAAGCAGAAAAGGGGATATGGAGGCACACGAATGCAAGCAGCAAAGGTCATGGGTTCCGCTGAGCAATGTGTGTCCAACTCTGACAGCTGCATAAGTTTGGTTGAATATTTTCTGTATTAAATGAAGGGCTGTTTCAGCTGGGTCTCATCACTAGTCCCTCACAATAAACAAACACTGCTAAGATAGATAATGAAACATCTTCCAGGCAAAGCAGTGTCAGTGAACCCAACCACTCTTTCCATTCTCCACTGTCAAACTATTGCCCATCCTCTAAATTGACTGATGGCAAAGTTGTTAAGAAAGCAAGCAGTTTTGTTTACATCCACACTACAATGTTGAACAATCTTTCAGGTAGTCATTCACAATCATTTTTGCAAGTCATTTAGAAGCTGGATCCATATCAGCCATACGTGGGTGGTACACCCGACCAATCCATGGTGTTGTGTTGAATTCCACTGCAAGATTTGGAAGTATGTGCAAGGCCCATGGTATTGCTTGGTCACATTGGAAGCCAACTTTCAGGCATGGCACAGGATTCTGAAAAACTTCAGGCATGCAATAGTTTCAGTCTGTCATACCATGGGATTTATTTTTCCTAGAATTCCTCCATCTCAGAAATTGGACTCTGGTTCAGCCCTTACTCATTCCTTTTCTCACAAATGCCATAGTGGTCCTTGAATGGTGTGTTGCAGCTTCTAAATAAATGTACCAGCCAAGCCAGCCGTCACTTTCCCAGCCTTTGAAACTTTGCCCAAACTTCCCTGCCAGTTTTTTCTTTTACAGGTACTCAGATGATGCAAACTTTCTATATTCCCCCACCTCCATCCATGCTCGGAAATGTGGACATGCTTTTAATTATGTCCTTTTGTTCTGCCTTTTGTTGTTGTTGTTGGGGGAATACACTTCATTTTTAATGAAATTGTACACAAATGTATGTGCAAACACTTCAGGTAGTGTAGTTATTATTATTTATTTTAAACACTTATATGCTACCTATCTCACCCATGGCATGTCTAGGTGGATAACAATCAACCAGTTAAAAACATTATAAAAACAATACAAACAACAACTACACATTAATAAATATAAAATCCAGTATATAAATTACATCATTAGGTTAGGTGGTATCCAATAAATATTAATTATTATTTTTTTGAAGGTAGGTCTTCTCCTGGTACCAATATGTAAATAACACCTTCACTTGAATGGGCTACACTTTGTGGAATAGCCCAATATGTACATATTAGGGATGAGCCAGAATTTTGACTTGTTTGGAATTCACATAAGTATATCTCACAAAAGTGTATCTTCTTCACAATTCCAAACAAGCATGTGAAGAGGGACCTTTTTTCAAGGAATGTTCTCAAATTGGGTTCAATGTCAAGATACTCCTGTTAGGTTTTTTTTTCACTCCCCCTTCACCCCTGCTTTGATTGATAAAGAACATTCTGCAAGAAAGGTCTGTGCCTCTAAACATGCAAAAAGAGGAAACCTAGTTCACAACACACACAGTTTAACACTTTAGTCAGCAGGGCAGAGAATATACTTCGGAAAAGTATCACAGAAATGCACTTTTCCCCATGTACATGAGCCAAAACAGACAGACAGACAGACAGACAGACAGACAGACAGACAGACAGTCAAACAAACATGTTTCACACAAGTCAAATGGGAGGGATCTGAAATGAATTTCAAAGTAATTTTGGGAAATTAGGCAAGCTTGAAATCACTATTTCTTTTGTTCCTAATCCATAAGCAACCTATTTTATTATTCAGGGAAGTGTTTTTACATCAAGTGCTGTGCTTTCCCACACACACAGTTTCTTCTGTTACCCTAACCAATCATAAAATTATTGCCAAATGTTCCCTTGAAGTCTTGGGGACAACATAACCTTGAACATCTGACCATCTCTGACATGCAAACCTGGAAAAAGAGAGAAGGAAAGAGAAAAAAACTGGGTCACTGCTTGTTTTAGGTACATGGGGTAGCTTTGGACTCCTCATGCTGCAGGGGAAACTACTTTTGGGAAGATGGAGTTGGGACTCAAAAGGATGGGATTCAAAGGGAAAATAATTAAAATCAATTGGGTGCCTTGAGTATAGTTCCCTGGAATTCTAGTCTAGGATTTGACTCCTCTCATCCTGGGATTTTCTTCAGCATCTTTCATAAAAATGAGTAAAACATAAAGGAAAAAATGGGTTACTTGCTCCATTACAAGATCAACAAAAATGTGCTGTGTTTTGCAAGCCAAGTATATAATACAAGTCTATCTTTTAATATTTCCCTGTTCCTTCTATGTTGTTAGCTGCTTTAGGGGCATTTTGACTCAGTCTCTGATAGAACTTTTTGTACGGACTTCTTTAAAAAATTGAAATCTTCCTTGCACCCTGCATGTTGATTTTGGACAATCTGTTAGCTCCTGCGATGAACAAATGACTTCTCTTGTTGTAGGTGCAGCTAACTTTTCTTCAGTGACCTTGTACGTCATTCACGTAATCTAAGTCAGTGATGCACTCATTCTGGTATGAATAGACAAGGCTTGAATGATCTGATGGGCTGCTGTACATTGCATCCCTGAGATCCTCTTTGAATAACAGCATCTTCTGTACCATCCCTTTGTGTGAGCTCTATCTGGAGGTGGTTCTCTCTCATACTGAATAAATGCACTTTGTGGGCTTCTTCAGTCTTGGCATAATCAGAAGGTTGCTTTGTGTGTTGTGGTTTTGAAAAGATCCACTTCGTCCATCAAGTACTGTGTAGGACTGAAGGAGAAATTAGAAGAGAAAATGCAGGAAACTTTAGCAAATCCAATCAATATAACCTGTATGGAACTAGGCTGTGTGTGGCCTAGCACCCCCCAGTGCCTTGCAAACCCCCAAATCTCCCTGAAATAATACTCGCTTTTAAGACAAACATGTCACCCGAAGCTTTGCAGAGCATCAAAAACTAAATCTGACCTTCTCCCTGCTCTGCAGTGTTGCAGTGTTCTAACTATCTATTTAGTGCATATTTAAAATACTTTTGGTGAACTAAAGCTTGGGACTGGGACACTGGGACTCCTCAAAGGTGCTCACCCCTCCATGTGGTCTGGAACCACATACAGCCTGTAAATGTC